GGCCTTAAGAAATTGAACTGTACTTTATATTTTTGTGTAATCATATTTTCTGTCTTTCACTAGTTTCTTCTTTTTAGCATGACTACATAAATATGAAGTAGTGATAGCAGCACAAGAAAAGAATAACAAAGAATAGGATAATAGATAATAAAAAATAAAGAAGCTTAACTGTAATTACAACTTAACCCTAGAACGGTTCACTGGGTCAGTATAACCCACAACGATTTTAAAAGTTGCGGCACTTCTATATTGTACGGGGAGAAGAGTCCGAATCAGGGAAAAAAAAATTTTTTAAAAGCCCCCTACTAAGCTGCACTCATAACCGAACCAGTGCATTGAAAACTGCCGAGTAAGAAACATCGAAAGTTAGTCTCCGGGTTACACTAACCCAATGTATCGTTAACGTTAGTAAACCCGTGATATATACCACTTTTGAAAAAATAATTAAATAGAATTTTGTAATAAAATGGAATTAAAAAATCAACAAAACTTTTTTATTGATCTTATAACCCCAAAGTTATCTAATAATGTACAATAACGCAAATTTTGCTACAATATTTATTGTCATTAGAATACTAATGTTATTAGAAATTTATTATTTATCAATTTTTCACTTAAAATATTTAATACAAAATGTCAAATCATGCAAAATTCATTTTATTCATTACCATAAAAAGTTACTAAGAGCCAAAAATTATCTATATTCATCATTCAAAATATGTAATTATACTTTTTGGAAGTAATTGAAAATATGCATTAATCCCCTTAAAGTACAACTACAGACCTTTACAATCTCAGTAGAATTAGGTCACAACTCGTTTTAGAAAAAGAAATATGATTAAATAACCAAAAACCTCAATTTTACTCAATAAAAAAAATTTTGATTTGATATTTTGTAAATAGCTCGTGTGCAAAAGCTTTTTTGCTTTCTAACGTGGATATTCAAGTTCCTGAGATTCTAAACTATCAATTAAAAAAAAAAAAAAAAAAACAGTTGTCCTAAAATGTGCAGTTAATCAAAAGTTAAAGTAAAAAGAAAACGGCATTAGCTTAACCTATGTGTATCATCTACGTTACTTTTAGAAGTGTACCGTCCTAGGGTTAAAGTTGTCATTACAAAAATAGATATAAAGTATAAAATTGAATAAATATAAAGTAACTTATTTAAAACGTTAAAAAAATAGCATTAATTTAAAAAAAAGGAAAAAAACATTAACTAAGTTAATAGCATTAACTTTATTTGACTTTGTCAATAGGTCGAGATCACATCAAGATTATTTCGATTTTTTCAGGATTCTCTTATTTTTATTGCACAGATCACCTAGAATTTTTAAAATTAAAAATCTAATTTTTTTTATATGATTAAATTTGCGCCACATTTACGTCACTGAATCTATGTAAACTAAGCGTAAAAGATACTTTTAATTGTAAAAAAATTTTGTAATTAAAAAATATCTTTGGTGAACATTTAAGGTGTCAATCAGGAATAATTAGCTATACCCGAGAAAAAAAGTGTGTATAATATGGTCAAATATAAAAATACATTATTAGATATAAAAAGATCTAAATAACACATAATTTTATGATTACATATAATCAGATCTACAATTTGGTGTGATATAATCTTATCTCTATATAATCATTTCGACTTGCTCTTATTATACATATATGACAACAGATCTAGTTGAATATGATTATATATGTATAATTATATATATAATCATAATAACATGTAATTATACATATATGATTATATATAATCAGATCTAAAATTTGGCGCGTTATGATCTTACCTTTATATAATCATATTCAACTTGATCTTATTATACCTATATGGAGAGGTAAAAGCCATAGTGGTATAAGTCAATTTTTTTTAAATATGAACTTGTGTGCATAGATGCAATTTATATATTGTACCTATAGATTGCATCTATGTAAACGAGTCAATATCTTAACAGACTTACACTACTATGGCTTTTCCCTCCATACAACAGATCTGGTTGAATATGATAATATATAATTATATATATAATTATATATATAATATATAAATTATAAATTATAAAAAAACTATACACATAGTGGCACTCCCCGGAAAATTCTACCCCTATTTCATATACTTTTGGTAAAAATTCGGTTTAGGGGTTTGGGCTGGGCATTGATGAGTCAGTGAGTCAGTAAATCAGTGAGTCAGTCAGGACATCTTCCTTTATATATATAGATATATAATATATATACACAATATATATTTTATTTAATATACGTATATATATATTCAATTGTATATATATAATCATATATAAATCATATTCAACCAGATCTGTTGTCATACATAATAAGATCAAGTTGAATATAATTATATAAAGATAAGATCATATCGCACAAAATTTCAGATCTGATTGTATATAATCATATAAAATTATTTAGATCTTTTCATATCTAATAATGTATTTTTACATCTGACCAAGGATAATAGATAATGGTATTAAATTATATGCTGTTATTATATCACTTATCATATTCGCAATAATAATCACATATAACTTAATATCATTATCTGTGAAAGAGATTGAGCACACAAAGATTATCTTCATACAAATAAAGTTCATTGAAAATGGAAACATATCTTGTATATATGCTAAAATTCTTGACATACCTTTGCGTCAAATTTTCTGAAATATGCTGGGTTTTTAGAGCATAATATAGAACCTGTTTCCCAGGATTCATTCTCTATTGTCACAGAAGTATTCATTTTATTTTCCTTCATAGATTTCTTTCCCTTTTTACTATTTTTTTTTTCAATTTTTACAAACGGCGGCAACGGAAAATAATGGAAGTAACATGGTGGTGGTTGGTATTTAGTGTCACATAATGTTAACAGCATAATCAATTCACTTTGCAAATATATCAAAGTATCTAAACGTTTTAGTACTTGTTTTCGCAGTAAAGGATCCGTTTGCGTAACAAAGCCCGAGATTATTTCTCTAAGCCTGTAACAGTCCTCTTACAGTTTTTTAGCCATTTACAATTTTAACCAGACTGATAAAATATTAGGAGTGCAGGTATCATATGTATATTACTGCATTATAAAAAAGATTTAATTAAAATAAGTGCTTACCAATTAATACCACATATAATAAGATCTAATGTTGAGGATTCTGGTATATCAAAGTTTTGTGGCATTAACATTCCGCATCCCAAAAGAGCATCTATGGCCTCTAATTCTTCATATTCACTGAGCCTCATACAACATGTCTTAAGAAGTCGAAATAGTATCGATGCAACTGGACCGTTTCTTTTATTTCCAAAATTTAATACACAGTTTTGTGGTTCGTCTTCTGCATTATTTAGACCAAATTTGGGTACTAGATCTTCCCTGAAGAAAAATTATATACATGTATGTATATGTATATGTGTATGTATGTATGTATATATATATATACATACATACATACACATATATATATATATATGATACAAGATATAATAAAGAAACAATTCTTTTTAGTAGAAGATGCATGTGTCTGTAGCATTTAGATCAAGTTCATTGTCGCGACGGTACGTCGCCACCACCGTCAACGCGGAGTTCTCGGCTCAAGGACCAGGAGCCTTATAATGCGCTGGCTCGATTATGGGTGTATCTTAGTTAGTAGGGTGTTCTCCAAAGCACGCATAGTTTCCCCCCTCCCTCCCCGTACAATATAGAAGTGGCGCGACTTTAAAAATTGCTATGGGTTACGCTAACTCAGTGTATTGTTCTAGGGTTAATATTTATCTGATAATTTTAAAAGTAACAATTATCTTATAATTTTATATATAAATATAATTTCTTTTGAGTGTTATTTTACTAAAATATGCAGTGGTTTGGGATATTTTATTTGGAGAAAAAAATACTACTTCTTTAAAGCATCAGAAAAACTTATTATACAGTGTCTAATAAGCGTTAAATCTTGTAATCTCAGAGATCAGAGGACTATTTTTATTTCGTATTCCGCTTCAATATTTGTTAACTTCGCAATAAAGCTTTTCTAGCCAAACTTCATATATTTTTTTCTTATTTTTACTTGTAGAATATGATTCCGTAATTTGTCGGGTAAAACGCAGGACACCGTGTATGTATAAAATGTGTTCATATTCACGTAAATATAATAAATTATGTAAATAATCATAAAAGAATTCATATATATGTAGATATAATATTCACATATCACACACAAAACCTTTCAATTATATAGTATATTGTATTGCATCATTTACCTGGATTCGAATTTATCTGTCATGTACGTATTCACAAACTCATCTTCAATACAGTTACTAATTTTTTGGACAAAATCAATGTTAATGAGTTCAGTTCGTTCAATTATTTGTGCTAGTTGGTCATAAAACAGAGGCTGCGATTTACAACAACTTTTTACGCTCTTCATTACCTTATCTGTAAAAGATGTTTATATAAAACATTTATACATTTTTCTTCATTTACTTATTTATATTAATTACATTTACTTATTTATATTATTTCATAAAGCAAATGTTGCATTAAACTATATCATAAATCAATTTCTTATTTGAGCTTTTATACTACATATACACACACGCCACGCACACGCACACGCACACACACATATACGCACTTACTCACTCACTATAGTTACAGTAAGATTATGCAAAATAAACGTACTGAATAATTTGAGAGCTTGATCACATGTTTCAGCTTTCTCTGCCAAATGTTTTATTGCCATTACTGCTCCCATGACACCTTTACATTTTGTACTAAAATAAATAATCCAACATTTACGTTTTATATAAAGATTATAAATCTAATTTTTATGTTAATTTTATACCTGACTTACATGGGTTTTGCACTAGATAATTGTTTTTGTAACAATATAAATAAATCATCCCGTAAAGATTCTGAGGTAGAGTCATCAGCTAGACATAATCCATGCAATAAATCACTTAAAATGCCAACTTCTTCTAATCCAAAGCAATCTATTTTTTCTAGTAAAATTCTCAAATGATTGCAGTGTGATACTAAACAATCTCTTTCTGTTGAATTCTCTGCCATTTTGCAAAGTACATTCAGTGCATGTTTCATAGTTTGATCATTATTTCCCATAAGAAGAATAGTATTTTTTACAATCTCACGTTGCTTAAACGGCATTTCTTTTTGACTGAGAAACTGTAATCGAAACCATTCTATTGCAAAAATAATAAACACACGTTCTTCAGACTTCAACAGTTTACCCGCTAATTGCAATATTGACGATTGTAATTCTCGAACAACCTAAAAAAGATATATATGAATATGAAGCATAATACAATGTCGTACATATATGTATATATGTACAATATTGCATCATGCTATACATAATTGTGATTTTTGTCAAATAAAGAGACAAATATAAATTTTTCGTTTGCAAGATATATGTATACAAACCTCTTTATAATCATTGTAAAGTGTATAAAGCAAACTTATCCTGTAAAAACCACAACGTATATTTTGCTTCAATAAAGCTTCTGCATTTTTTTGCCTTATTGTCCCAGAGAATATTACGATCAAAATTATTAAATCTAATGGTTTTGGATTTTTATTAATATCTTTTATCACTGCTATTGCGACATCTGTTACATCTTTAGCCAGTAACATACATATCTTTAACGTTTTAATTATCTGTACTTGATTTTTATAACAGTTTTCAGCTTTATCTCCCACAAGCGGTTGCATTTCTATATTACGTAATACAAACAACATTTGTTTAACAATATCAGAAGATACACAATCATTGAGAAGAAATCTGCAATACAATTGAAAAGTTATTGTAACAAAATATATTAAGAGCACGAATAACAAATAATAACATAATTAAATATAAATATACCTGATGACAATTGGTACAAGTTCTATTTTCATATTCGTTTTTAACAATTGTAATACTTTAATTTTATATTCTTCCAAGTATTCCTTGCCAAGATTAAAACTGGCAATACAATTCAAAATTACATTCGTCAATTCGCAATTTTCCTCTAACATTTTTGTTAGAATTTCAGCGATAGTCTGATGCTGAGTATCTGACAAAACGTCAGGCAGAAATAAGATGAGTTCATGTTGAAACCACAATGGACATGTTTCTAATAGCTGTTGTATATTTGTAGTTAATATATCAATATCAGTTATAGTATCCAAAAAGCGAAATTGATGTAATAGTAATGCAGCCCAAGGAACTTCTTCTAAAGTGTCTCTATATAAAGATGTATAAAATGTTTGGATTAATTCAAATATGACTGTCTTTTTCAATATCATAATTATAAAACACATAAACAAGCAATAGAATTAATTGTGCACGTGTGTGTATGTGTATGTGTCTATGTGTGTGTCAGTACATGCGTGTTGTACATATATACATACATATACAATTCCATAATTCCACACACACACGCACGCACGTACACACATACACATATATACTTTGACCTTTAAACCTTAATATCGTCTAAATGGTTATATTTATGAAAAAAATACAAGAGACCTTTTTTGTAGATCGTTAAATTTTCTACAAAAATACGTATTGAGTATTTCATAATTTTTGATAGTCGATATGATACAAAATTTATAAGAAGCAAAAACATGTTTTATAAAATTTATCAAACTTTAACTTTGAATATCTTTTGAACGGTTGAATTTATGAAAAAATGATAAGAGATCTTTTTTGTAGAACGGTAAATTTACTACAGAAAATCTATGTGGCACAATGCTGTATTACTGTTTGTTAGATAGTTATAAATTTTTTTCTATCTTACTAAATAAAAAATAAAAAATCGCGATGAGCGACCTGTTAATATTAATATTAAGGGCTAAAAATTTAACAGGTATCTTATTTTACCTTCCTGGAAGTATATATGCTATTCGTGAAATGAAAAAGTTGCCCCAAAATGACACACTAATATATATACATACACACACACACACACACACACACATACGCACGCACGCACGCACGTACGCACGCACACGTACACGCACGCACACACGCACACACACACACACACACACTCACGCACGCACGCACGCACGCACGCACGCACGCACGCACGCACGCACGCACGCACGCACGCACGCACGCACGCACATGTATTTTTATTGTTAAATTATGTATTAAATTTTTATTTTATTCATTATTTTATAATAAAATGAAAAATATTATATAAACTGTTTAAAAGTTCTACGAACAATATTTTTTACAATACAAAGTATTATTAGCTTTTTTCATCAAAACAGCCATATATATTTAATCCTTTTTTTTACTATCTAAATAGTTTAGCTACAAATTAATTTTTTCTGACAGAAAACTTCCATTCATTTTCTAAAATAGTCCTAGTTCAATTTCAGAAAAGGCTTTATGACTAATTTATTTTTTTTCTAGAATTAAATAATATTGTTTTTAAAATTAAATATTATGTTAATCACAACCATGTTGATAATACTATATAATACTTATTTATTTTCAAATTAATCACATAAAAAATACTGAGTAAGACATGAATTAGACTTTTAAGTAGTTTCACTAAAATATTTTTAAATTTTATATGTGGTCTCCTCTCTCTCTCTCTCTCCCCCTTCCCTCTCCCTCTCCCTTTCCCCCTCCCTCTCTCTCTCTCTCTCTCTCTCTCTCTCTCTCTCTCTCCCTCCTCCTTTCTCAAACTTCTGGAAAGCAGTGTACACACATATATATATATATATATCAATATTCGAGATTTGAAATCAATATTAATTTTGGTAAGTTGAAATCCTGAGACACGTAAAAGAAAATTATCATGTTTCAATATTTGTATCAATTATCATATTTTATTTATTTGTGAATAAAGACTATCGCATAGGCAAAAAATATTTGAATTTAGAATCAGCAAAATTATAGATTTCAATCTTTAATACTTACGCTGAAAGAATAGATTCATTAAGTTTAGACATAAAGATATTATATACGTCTGTTTGAATTTCTGTAACTTCTAATAGAATTCTTGCAAAAGTCATTTTGCTTAGAACACCAAAACCATTATTATCAGTAGATATTTCCACATCCTTCAACATTTTTTCAAAATTTTCTTCATTTCTAATATGCTCCTCTATGGAATCAATTATATTTTTTTTTTGATATTGCTTTAAATTCAATACTTTTTTCATTTTCCATTTGACAATGGATGGAGGAACGTCTGTAAAAATAAATCTTAGATGTAAAGTATCTTCTAAATTTTTTAAAAATTAAAAAATAGGAAAAAAATATGTATAATAAAGAAAAACTTACTAAGTGTATATATGCCATCAGTTGATAGTACAATACCACATTTCTGTAAAAAATTAGAAAAAACAGATGGTACATAGAAATTTTGCTTTTCTGAAAGATGTTCTTCATTATTAATTATATGTTTCTTTAATTCCTTATTATTAATTTTAGTTTTCTCTGATTCTGCACATAATTGAAATTCCTTAGGTTTATCTTGTTTCTTTTTCTGAGAACTATAAGGTTTAATAACTGTTTTAATAGGTGATTTGTAACATATTTTCCTAGAAGAACTGATATTATCTTGGGTAATATGCTTTGTATTTCTATCAAGTGTAGTTTTGCTCCTTTTCATCTTTATAACGTTATATTCATTGTTTGAAAGATCAAGATTATCTGAAGTTTCTTCTAAATTAAGATCTGCAATTTTATGCTTCTGTGCAACTGATTTTTCCACAGATGAATTAGCAGTATCCAAGGACTTATTTGTTGTTGATACACTATTTCTTGATAAATGTATATTCTCTTGATGACTTGACATAAAAGATGTATTTGCTTGGCTATTAAGCTGTTTTGACATTGATGTCTTAGCTTTCAATACTTTAGAGGCAACAACTAAATCATCCGTTTCTGACACATCATTCTCAGATTCACAAAAACTTTTTTTTTTACTTTTAATAGAGAAATTGTTCTTTTCTCTCGAAATATTTAAGGATCTTAATGTTGACGATCTGATATCTGACAATTTTTCTTCACAAAATAAACCACTCTTTTCCTGTGTTATAATATTAGTGCTGTGGAAACTCATTTGTTTATTGCCAGAGTTTATTTTCTCTAACGATTGATTAATAAGATTAATCGGTTGTACTTCTTTGTGCAAGTTACTTTTTGTCAATTTTCTCTTATCCATAGTGAAATTAGAAGAAATTCTTTTCTCTTTCTCAGTATTCTCGGAATTAGAAATTTTAAAACTGATTCAAAATAGCACTTCACAATTGATGGTGATTTCTTAGCAATTAAAAGATAAAATTTATCTTTTAAAACTTATTTCACCGTCACAGTACTTATCAGAGACAAAGAAACGAGCATAAACAAATTCTTTTTAGGCGGGACTTTTTTTCACAATGTCATGGACTAAACCATAGTATATAAGGATATACAGTAGGGACAAAGAGGAACCTGGAACCTCAAGACCATCGCACACAAAATACATAAGCTTAAGGTGATCCTAAAGCCGTGATTCTAGCCGGTTTTTTTTCGGTTTTTTTCTTAGCACTAATCTTTTAATTGGCTTTATAGAAATGCAAAATTCTTGTCTAG